CCTAATGGTAAGTATATGATTGTGAAAAAAAAATGAATCAATGGTAAATATCTTACATGATTTAGACAAGCACGTACAATATATTTAGACACATTTCCACTTGACAAATAAATAGTACCTACTTTATTCCGTTTGATAAGTGGAAGTTTATTCGTCAGGTGAAGGAAACACGTTATACATATATAATATTACTTATATACAAGGATAGGAAGTACTAGAGTGCCATCTGAAGCATGTTCAACCCTAATAAATTCACTAGCAAACTCCGGGCTTACTGTCAGTAGACCTGCAGTAAAAAGTAAGAACAAGACTATGGAATACCAGAAAATATCATATAAAACAGATGTAGATACGTATAGGCAACATTTCTCATTCTTACAGTAAATAAAACTATATGTGTCCAATAAATCGGTTCGAGTTGTATAGCATTTATCTAAGATCATTAAATAATGTTCACTAAAACTATAATTCATAGTATATTTATACAATGCTGTAAAGATGTACATGTATAACAATTAAAAACATTAAACGTTTAGATAGTAATCACTTCTAAACAGGCCCGTATTTAGGAGGGGGCACGGGTAGGCACATGCCCGGGGACGTCAAGTCTCAGGAGCGGAAAAATATTTTAGTAAAATTAATTTTAAAATTGATGTGTTTAATGAAAAAAAAATAAAATAATAAAAAAAAGAAAATAGTATGTTTTATTATGTTATAATTTGTAAATTATAAAAAAAATTGTATTTTATTATATTATAATTTGTTAATTAAAAAAAAAAGGAAATTGTATGTTTTTTCATGTTATAGTTTTTTACTTAGAAAAAAAAATTAAATGATTTTCATTTATAAGTTTTATTTTAATATTAAAGAATCTCGATTATGGACGAAATAATAAGTGTTCTATTATTATTATTTATTTTTGGGAGGGCATAAATTATATGCCCGGGGGTGCCAAATTTATAAATACGGGCCTGCTTTTAAATCATAAATGAGTATTGAGTGTTCGCATTTAAATTATATTCAATTACGCATGATGTTCGGCAAAAATTTTGATTTATTCCTGCTACCCGTTGTTCTACAGTAACGAATTGGGTTTTTGATAATAAAATACCGTTCGTTTGTTTAAATGATAAGGTTCAATATATTTTACTAATTATACGTCGAATAATATAGCGTTGTGGGATTATATTCGTAAATAGAATATCTGGCAATCGAGATTAAAATACGTTAGGTAATTTGAGATCCAAGATTGGATAACACTTAAAATGACAAATAGACGAACGAGTATTTTTGTCCTCGATCTCTAATTCCGATTCCAATAAAAGGATGTTATAAGATAAGTAAAATTTTATTTGTACATATTTACAAATATCTTGACTGAATAAAATAAAATGTAATTCAAAAACAGTCTTCGCCTTGCTTTCATTAAAAAATAATATAATTCCATTTATTTATAAAAAATAAATGTAATATTAGCTCGTATTAATATTTGTTATAAAAATGTAATTTAAATTTTAGGTTGTAATCTAATCAGGTATTATTTTGCAATAATTTAATTCCAATAATTTTCTAATTTTCTGTTGGCATGAAAAATCATTAAATTTTTCATTAATTGTTAAACGAATAGAAAACTTGGGAATCTCGCTGTAAGGAAAAAATTAATATATAAGTATATTTTAAATTATCATCGTTGAGTTTTATGTTTTGTATATTTTCCATCGATACAACTAGCTTCTACATAATCTGCCGAACACAAAATTAATATTTATGAGATAATTAATTACTATAATGGGGTTTGAATCAATTGCCTTGGAAAATAGTTAATCTCTCACTATTATTTCAAACTATTCGATAAGCTATTAATTTCTATGACAGGTTTTTCTCCATTTCAACCACACCTAAAGCAGGTGCACGTTGGCAGCAGTTAAAATAGTTTTTAATTCTTCAAGTTATTATAAAGATGAAATGCAATTTTTTTTTTTTTTTTTTTTTTTAATCCGTAGGTACCACTAAAACATTTTGTAAAGAAGTATAACATTATATTATAAACTTGCATTCACTAATATCTATGAATACTTACGTGATACTGTTGATGGGCTTTTCATAAATCCAGTTTGGTATTCAACAGTTTTACAGGACGTTTCATAGTGTTTACAAAACGAGTTATATGTGTTGTATTATTCGAAGGTTCTGTATATTATATACCAACTTTGGTATAATCATAAGCCACTATCATAGGATACATTTTGTTGCCTTTGAGCACTTGGCTGCATACACTTTCTAGTTGTCAACAAATGAAAGCAGCAAAATATACCCATAATAAATTATTTTATATATTAAATATTTATTAATAATTACTTTGTACTTATTAATTTCACATGCTTTGATAAATGATTCTCGAGAGTCAATAGAATCGGCATTCCATAGAGCATAGAATATAACTAATAGCTAAGTCTATCAAAGTTGTTATAACAGTTATGAAAATTCCTGTGTAAAAATCATCAACGTATGAATCGACACGGAAAAATAGTTTTGGGCCTTTGACCACATAATCATTTTGTCTGCAATCAAGAATAAATACATCATAGTAAAACAATTTCTTTTTGCACAACTGTAAACGGATTTCTAATTGGTGGTGCTCTCTCGATGTGCACAGTAGTGCGATCCTAACATGTTGATCAGTGTTACGTACGTTGTACACATCATAAAGACTGTGAAAAAACAACACGTTGCCCAAATCGTGCAAGAATTTCTTGAACCATTTTTACCGATAGAACGACAGTTTCGCAGTCTCATCCCTGATGAGTCTTTCTGGATCTAGCGGTAATCGAACCAATCACTAAACACACACCGAACTCACCCTATGGCTGAATCAACATCGGAATCCTTCAACAATGCATTGTGTCCCTAGAGAATATCCTAGATATACCTTTTTCCGGGCTGACGGAGGGGAGAGTCAATGGACACAGAGGATAGGGGTAGGCAGTTAACAGGAATAACGAAAATTATCAAAAACAAATTCTAACGAGAAAACTTACATGCGTAAAACGTGTTACGTGTATGCAACGTAACTGGAGCGTAACAGACAACGGCTATCATTATCACTGAATATAACGCCAATAGTGTTCTTGTTGATAAGCCGATAAGTGATGAGCTTACAGAGAATGGACACCCTTTGAATTTTTACAGTCAGAAGCACGATACGTTTTTACGAGATATTAAAATTAAAATAAAATAAAGATTGACCAAGAGGTAAAAAAAAATGATCATCCATAAAAATAATGAAAAATTTATAATACATTGTTATTAGAATTATGGAATGATATCCAAAAGAATTTCAATTACATTGCGCAGATTATTTTAACGCTGAGAGTTACTCGTTGCTATTCTATAATTTTAGTATTCATCTCCGCTAGTTAATCTGGTACATTAACTTATTTAAACGATTGACGTGATGTTTATATATGATATTTGATATATGTAGTATATCATTATATTATGTGATATTTATATATGTGAAAAGAAATGGTGATGTAAAACTGAATAGTTTTTATTATTGTTATTCATGTTTTACAAAAAGTATTTTTGAAAATGTTTAATCATAAATACAGACTGTAATTAGAAATGTAAATATTTCTTAAAGTTTTACTCTTCATTTAATGGCGTATTATTATTATTTAATTTATATTTTGTTTTCGGAAACATAACCCACAGCAATGTAAATACATGCATATGTGTGTGTGTGTGTGTGTGTAGTTATCACATATATTATTATATTTACAGTTTATTAGATTAGAAAAGCATATTTTATAATTATAATATAATGAATAATACCAAATATATATGTAATTGGAACTGCAATACATAGGTATTAAAGATTTTAATCAGTTTTAAAAAATAAAATTAAAACTTTTCCAATAATTATGTATTACCTTATAGATAATGTTTAGAAGCACAGAAAAATATTGAAATATATTGCTACGATTGGTTTAAAATAATTTGTTTTGTAAAACTAACACTTTTAATACATGAAATGATATACATATGACAGAATTCGTATGTTACATCGACACATCACTAAATACATACATAAAAATAAAATGCAATTACGAGTAGGCAGGACACTATAGGAGACACTATTAATTTAAGTTTTTTTTTAATACTATAATATAATTAAATATTTATTTCATTAGTTTGGTTATGAATTAAGAAATCAATTTTCTAAACTATTTACAGTAAAACCTGTCTAATATGGAAACTTGTCTTATATGGAAAATTTATTCGGTCCCGACGACTCAAATACATTTTTAAATACATCATGCCCTGAGAAGATGGAACTTGTCTAACGTGGAAATGTAAACAATATTTTTGTCATGTAGCTGTTTATCATGGAAATAATTGAAAATGATAAGTTAATAAGTATAATCTATATTGATTTTGATTATTTTGTTGCACTACATTGATTTTTTCGTTATTACTTGAATATTATAATATTTTTTTACTCATTACTGCTCTATTAACCTAATTAATTTAATAATATAGTTATAATCAAATAAATTCTCAATTTCATATTAGAATTAAACTTAAAAATCCAATTGTGTTTGCTTTAACAATTAATTTTTTGTTAATAATGTATAATTAATAATGTATACTCATGTTAATTCGTGAGATACAATAATTTATGACTGAAATCTCAGTAAAAAAAAAAAAAATTAAATAATTAAATCTATTAATTATATGTAACACTTGAATTTTTTTTTGATAATTTTGCTAAAAGTATTTAAGAAAAGCAAAATTAAAGATCAGTAATTATTAAGACGTGCATTATTTAACAATAATAATAATGTATTTCACATTTAGACCAACAAAAATTGTATAATAATTTAAAAATTAATCTTGGACAAAAAATTCGATTTGGAAAAATAATTAAAAAAGTAAAAAAAGAAAAAGTAAAAAGAAATTAGAATATAGAATATAAAAAAACAGTATAAATCAAGTTAAACAATATTAAGCTGAATTCATATCAAGATATGTAAGCCTATTAGTGATGTCGAATATTAAATCTGATAATCTTGGAAATTCTATCTCCATTTCTGAGTCATCCATTACTTTGTCAATTCTAAAATATGAAACAAAAATAAAATAATAATTAATAAAATTTAAAATACAGAAAATTTATATTATTGTATTCACCCCGATAAAACCGAATTACTTAATAACAAGCCTTCTATAACAAGTTTGTCTAAAAGTATACCAGCCTTATGGCGAATACTTTGATTTTCTTTTAGTGTTATATGTATCATAGAAACAATAAATGATACTTGATCATATTTTATCCATGAGTTAACATTATTTAACATATGTACAATTTCCTGTAAATATTATTAAATAAATAAACATATGGTGGAGTCAAAAAGTTATTGCTATTATTATATATAATATTATAAAATGTGATGGTTATATAATAATATAGATAATTATGTCAAAAAAATGTTTAATATTAGTATGAAATAGATATCTAAAAGAAGTAATTTAATTATTTGAATCATTGCTATTATCAAGTCGCCAAAATGTTCATACAAGTGAGCTACATTTGAAATTTCAAGTTTCTAATAATCGATATCTTTGAAACTTAAGTATATTTGTTTGATGAGTAATACAAAAATGTTAATAGTTATTTATTCTTTTTTTTTATAATAATAATCTAATAGTGAGTACCCAAGTAAAAAAAAAAAGAAGTTTTTTAAATTGATATCAAATTTTTTTATAACCATCGATCTATGTTTCTAGAAAGATAAACTACAAAAAAAAAAAATTGTTTTCATAAAATTATTATCTTAATCAAAATGTATTCTTCTTATTATTTTATTATTTTTTGTATTTAAAATACTGAATATAAAATAAGTTAATCTACTACATACATTGATACTTTTCTTCGTGTCAAAATTGTTAAGAACAACAATACATTCATCAATAATACACTGGGCCATTACAGTATATGATTTAAATTCATATGATTTTTTTAATTGCTCTGGCAATTTTTCAAATGAACTATGTTTCTCATTGCCCTCAATTAACATAACAGGTTCTGTAAAATATATATTTATAACCATTATAAAAAATTAAAATGATTTAAATAGTTCATAAATTATGTTATTTAGATTCAATCAAAAAACGTATTAAATTATAATAAAACTGTTCAGAAGATACATGATATCTTCTGAACAGTTTTATTAAAAAAAAAAAATACATGATATTTTGTAAATAATTTATTAATTTTATTCAATAAAAATAAGATCTTTATGTCTTCGTAATGAAAACTTAAAGAGAGATCATTATTGCGAACCTATCATAATTTTAAAAAAAATTTTAAAAGCAATTATTTATTGCTGCATAAAAGTTTATACTAATACAAAATTACAAAATAATCTAATTTTATGCTACATTCTAATATAAAATTTGAAAATAATGTTACAACTTTGTATAATTGCTAAACATATATAAAAGGCATAATTTGAAATTTTAAAATTTAAATTGTTGAATATATTATAATAAAAAAAATTATAATTATACGTAACATATTATAAAAACATTAATAAATCTTAAAACAATTCTTTAAAATAAATGCATAATATAGTAATTTAAAAGTACTTTTTCTCTAATGAATAATAATATTTATACAGTATGATTTGAAAATTGACATTATTACCTTCATTTATCCAACCTTTTAAATTCAAGTTTTGTATTTTGAATATCAAAGACTTTAAAGTTGGTGAAATTTTTATGAGGTCAGAATTTTTAATTTTAAATAATAAAATACGATATACTATACTGTCCAAATTATGAGTCTAAAAAAATTAAATAAGAGATTATTTTTTTCTATAATTTCTTAATACCTTAATATTTTGGTTATTACTTTTGATAGTTTTGGTCCTGCTATTTGTAATATTATACATAAACAATGAATATTTAGAACATCTTTTACTTTCATTAATTCGTTAATGAACGCCATTATATTTTTTTCGGTAAAAGCCCCTTGTTTGAATAATTCACCGATAAATCTATAAAAATATTACTTCGTACAGGATATACAAATAATTAATTAATTTTACTTGAAAACATACTTGCAATGGGTTAAAGACCTATTATAATATTGGAAATGAAAATTATTCAATCTATTCTTGAAATTATATGGTGTCTATAACATATATCAAATATTAATACTATTTGATAATCAAATTAAAAAACACATGTAATCAATTGATAGAAAATGTATTTGAATATAATATGGTTTTAGTAAAAGGCAAATTAGAATGATTAAGTTTGAGTAGTTTAGATGAGTAATCCTATCCAAATCAGTTTACTTATTAGCTATTATTGTTAATTATATAATATATATTTTGTAAATAGTATTATGTATGAATAAGTCTTGATTAAAAATGATACAAATCAGTTTATAAATAAAAATTAACTATGCAAATATCAATACTGAGATTCTTCTTAAGCTTGAAGTGACTTAAAACTAATTTAAAACTAATACTTTTAATGATTATAGATTATATTATAAAATCTAGTATAATTACAAAAATACTATTATTATATTAACAATATATATATATATATAACTAGTTACCATATTACTGTTCATAAACTTTTCTTTTAATGTGTGTACTTCTTTTTGAGGAGTACGAGAATAGTATGACGTAAAATCATCAAAGCTTTTTTGGGCTAAGACTTTCTGAAAAGTTGCCTTAGAATTGTGAAGTGTGTTAAACGCACCATCATTGACCATGTATGCGCATAACTGTGCGTATAAAACTGCGAAATTTGATCTATTTAAAGCCTAGATAAGTAAAACAAAAATATGTTATAACTATTATAATTATTGATAATATTTACATACCTGAAAATAAATTATATCCACAATGTTTTCGAATATATAAATTGTTCTCTTCGGTATGGAAATAATTGTTTTTGCCATTTTATCAAAATTGTTAATATTTATGCGATGGACAATTGATTGTACCATATTAAATATTTCCTAAAGTAAAAAACGTTTAAAATAATAATTCTAAATATTTTCTAAAAATAAAATTAATTCAATAAAATGAATCAAATGAAAAATATAAACAACAGTACAATAAATTGAAATTATTAACTTAAACATAAAATACACATTTTTAGTGAAATTTAATAATTGTCATATATAAGATTAATATTATTATTAATTAAATCGAACTTACAAATATTTTAAATTATACAACATTGAATACTTACAACCGGTTTACAACTAATTTCCATAGTTGTTGTTAAATGAAAAAACAAATATTTCTGTAAATAAAATTTTTTTTATAAGTAACATAAATTATATTACAGGGACTCCATAGTTAAATTATATAATTACTATTTATTAGTCACAAATTTAGGAGGTAGGTAAGACCGATATTTGAGGGGTAAAAATGTTGGTTTAAACATAATTACTAGTTACTTATAATTAATTTAATTATATAATTATAGTCTCACAAAGAAATATCATTTGGTAACCTTAATATAATTATTTATAAATGAAATTCTCTTTAATTTCAGTTAACAGTAAATGGATAAATATAAAACGTCTCTGGAGGCAAAATTTTATTATTAAATAAATTAAACAAATCTTAGAGTAAAACCAACTGGTCTGATAAAATTACTTCATACGTGCAGTAAAATATCTAGTTTTAAAACAACATCATGCATAACTATAGGCCTTAGTAGAAGTTATCATTAAAACAATTTAAATAATATATAATTTGAATTAAGAAACAATGAAATAAATTAAATAATACCTTTCAACTGTAATCTGGACTTGACAGTATTTTATACGACCGAGATTGATGATCGTTGATGAAATTAATGGTTTATAAGATGCAAAACATCACACAAAAATGATCAAACCAATTGTTAGCGCGGATCACTAAACAATATAATGGATATAATATTGTTGAACCGAAAAATGATTTCTTCATTGACCATACGCCATTGCTACATAATAGATAATTATGTAACATATAACTTACCAAAATCGTATATTCACGCATACATAATTTAGATTGTGATCACGGAAAATAATTATGTTACTATCCAATAGTCAAATCCAGATGGCTGTAAACTAACAATATTCGTGTTTAATGCACGAAAGTGTTGTACCTATTTTTGTATCTAACGAGAGTGTGATTCGTATTGGATACAAACATGCGAACCGGCTATTCGAGCATTCAATGTGGCCGGCTAATTAATTAAAATGTACATTTTGAGCGTTAAGAAATACGTTTTTTTTTTTTTTTAGACTTAATTTCTTTAATTATATCACGGACATAAAGGTTTTAAGATATAATCTCGTTAAAAATCGATTTATTCGTTTAATCGTTTTAATCTCAGAGAACAAGTTTTTTTATTTATTTTTTTTAATTTGAGATAAAGGCTTCAACATCTTATGGTTATTAGCCTCGGTGATATACGACTGCGGACGGTTCTTATCGGGGCAACCTTTTTAATCGAAATTATAGTTTATCAGCAGACCCCCAAACATTACACTATTGCGGACACATGTTGCCAATTTTATAAATAAACCTTCGATAATGTGAGAATGTGGAATTCCTGAGCGTATTAAGTTTAGTATGCAGTTACAAGTCATTTTTGTTAAATACTGCAGTTAGAAGAAATTAAATTGAAGAAGTTTAAAAGAAACTCAAGGCGAAACTGAGACAACTATTTCATCCATAAACAAAGGTCGAGAAAAATCGGTGGCAAAAAAAGATTTAGATAAAATCAACCTGACTATACAGAGCTATAATGATTATAAAAATCACCAAAACATGATACAATATTTAAAAAAAAAAAAATAGTTGTTATTACAGGGGGGAAAAAATATAAATGTTTAACTTTAAATGTTTATATTATATATTATTATATTAATAAACTGCGTCGCACAACTTGGCAACGTTTCATTAAATTTCGACCGCAATCGTGTCATTTTTTGGATGATAAATAATACCTTTTGTTATATAATGATCGTCCGCAAACGGGTTGCAAAAAAGGTAAAGCGTCCGCAATCGTGTTTCACCCATTATCCTACATTTATAACAACGTGAACAGAAATAAGTATTAACAGATGTTTACAATTTACAATTTATAGTAAAGGTGTGTGTAATGAAAAGACTTGCAAATTTCTTCTGCGTTTTCTTCATTGAAAGCAAGTCAGAGGGATGTTGAGTGTTTGAATATTTTCAGTACATCACCGTATTTTGGCATCCAATAATAATGTGGTAAATTGATAGGTTTTGATTGCCTTTCTCGCATAATGGAACAAGTTCCTTAGTTATGAAAAATAATTAATTTATTTGAGAGGGAACGTTGGTCAATTTTTTCTACCATGTATCTAGAATTTTGAGATTAATGGTGTCGAGTGACTCTAAGGATATGGTTAAGTTTAGTTTTAAGGCATTATGAGGAAGTGTGGCTTCATTTGCAATTTTTTTCTGTTTTTTCTTTTCCAGAGATGCCGACGTGGGAAGGGACCCACATAAAAGTGAATTTTGTATTGTTTGTAGATATAAGTTCCTGAATATACTACACTAGTTCATTTTTAGAATATAGGGGTTTAAGATTTATTTTAAAGAACTTTTTCAAGTTTTCAGTTTTTCACTTTTTCAAATTTTTCAAGTTCACTTTTTTTCACTTTTGAGTTAGATGGTTTTACGTAGACTATGTTTAAATATCATAAAATTTATAAATAACTAGCTGGCCCGATAAACGTTGTTTTGTCATATAAATTATTTCTAGAGAATATTTTGTTAGAAAAAAATAACTAATTTAATATAAGTGTGTAGGGATTTGATATATAAATAGAAGAGGTATGTGGAGTGCTGTGATCAGTGACGGAATCTAAAAAATGAAAAATATCAAACAATTATTTTTTTGATAATTTAATAAAATTGATCCTTTAAAATTATTTATATATATATATATATATATATCGCTAATTATGACAATATTAATGAAAACAATATCAATCCCTTAATGCAACAGAGTGTACAATATTTGTTGTTATCCCATCTTACGGCAACACAAACAAACTGGATGGTTCAAGAGCACGCCACGTGTAATTGTCCGTGTGAAAAACATGATTTTGATTGAATCGCAAGTATCGAAATCGTTCCCTCTCTATCTTTACATACATGTCGACCATTAATTGTTGACAAATCTCACGACATCGTAGAATAACGTTATCCTGATCGCATCTAACATCAACCGATATGCATAATAATCCTTATATCATTCTTTTTTGTTTTGACACCTGTTGCAGGATCTTATTGTTTAATATTTATACAATACCTGTCATTTAATACCAAAAGTAAAATTAATAGATTTTAAATAGTTTTTTATAGTTTTTTTTTGATAGTTTCATTTAATAATTTATTTTCAATTGCACAGTTATCGACCGGGTCAAAAATTATTAAATTAAACTACAATTTATTAAACAATAGCACTTTTCCAACATTTTTTTTCGTAAAAACCTTCTTCTGTTAATTACAAAAAATTAAAACAAATTTTAACCAAAGCTGGGCTAGCCGTTCTCAATTGATAAAATGTTATACATTTTGGGTTCTATTTATATATATATATATAATATAAATAATAAATAAATAAAACATTTTTGTAAAATAATAAAACAAATAAAACAACATCTGGAAATAATTGTATAATGCGTGACATAATTTACATGTATGATATGCTAATAGCATTACATAAAAATCTCATGCCACTGAACCCTACTTATGCAATATTCAGAATGTTGACAATTATTTGACTACATGTTTCCGTATTGTGAATTTTAAGACGTTGCACAAGACAAGGAAAGCTTTAACGCCTAATTCTTTAAATAAAAATAATGAAGTAAAATATTTTACTAGCATTTTATACAAATTTAACTTTTTTTAAGTATTTAGTAAAACTACTGAGAAAATCAGAAATGCACCAATGTTACAAACTTATAACCATATTCAATTTTTTTCGAATTTTCTATGTAGTTCTTTTTTTATATTTTGTGTAATTTTATTATTTATAAATAAACGTTTTGCGTTTAGATATGGAAAAATTGTAAGTCCAATACCTACATTCATGGCTCTGTTTTAGTCAAAATCAAAAATAATAAAATTTTACTTATTGGTACCTAATAAATAATTTATAGGTAATAATAAAAATTAAATACTTTAAAATTTTAATTAATAAATACTCCACATAGTTGAAAATTAAATAATTTTTCCCATAATATGTAAATGTATAGTAGATTATTACTGTTTCAACAATATATATATCCAACTATATAATACAATTAATAAATATTTTATCTATATATTAGCTTTTACTAGGATTGCTGGAAAGAAGTTAAGTTAAAAATTAATTGATCACTGTAGGAAATTAATAAATAAATTAAAATTTTCTTAAATTAATTAAGGTTTATAACTAGGTAGTGTAAGAATTTGATAGATTTAATATTATAGTGATTTCATTGAATTGTATTTATATAAACACAGTTTTGTCTATTACTAACAAATTGCATAGTATTTCAGTGATACTGCCCTACTCAATATATTATGAACGTAAATAATATTTTGTAATTATTTGTTTTTTTAGGGATATTTTTCGATTTAGATTAAAATTGAAAACCTTGTTAAAATCCGTTGTAACAACAAAAGTAAAAACAACAGTAGATTTACCTTGAAGTTAATAAAACGTGTGTTTTATTCTTTTATTTTGCTTTTGTTCGACATAATACAGCAAGAAAAAAAAAAGTGTTTATATATTGATATTCAATCAATTATTGATGATTTTTCAATAGATATTGATTTTCCTTAAAATATTTTATCGACAGTATACTTAAAGAATACGACGGCGACATTGTCAGAAACGTTATAGCCTCTCATTTTATAGTTCTAAAACAAGTACAATCTTAGAATGAAAACAAAAAACTTTTTTAGGCCTTATATATATATATTTTTTTTTTTTTTTGGTATAGCAGGTACCACTTCTGTTCATGACGCAGTTAACGTGTAAATCCGTTCTTGTGGTTTCGAGAAGGAAAAAAAAATATTGAAGTACTTTATACGTATATACTCCAGGCGAGATTGTTTCTTATGCATGCTAATGCCAAGAAAGAAGGAAACTTGTGCGCACACATATACACGCCGTGAACGTGCACACTAGAATGGGGTCGCCGCGAACTTTCCGCTGGGGAAGTGATTTCTTTGAATGGAAGCGAGAGGACTTTTTGGACTTACATGAAGTCATAAATCGACCTTTAGCGACGCACCGGAGTCACCACCCAAGTTAACGCATTAGTCAACTTGTAAACTTTACCCTCGTTAGCAGGCCGTATTTGAAATAATTTTGATTTCGACCGTGCACGTATATGTGTACATACGCAATATATTATATGATTCCGTGCAGCCGCGTTGGCGACCGTAATACTACAATAATAGTACAATAATAATGCCCTATTGACCACGCATGAAATATCTTTCCCCCCATAAGCCAATGTATTGATATTTATTGCTGTGCGCGTTGGCGTGAATATCGTTTGATATTTGAGGGGTCTGAAACGCTGGCTAATTCATCAAGTGTTCGCAGCAGTGAAATGCACGCCTAAAAAATCATTCCAGACCATGCTCGGTTATTAATATTAAACTTTTTCCCGATATCACAATGAAGTTCAGTATTAAAATGTACATCAAATTTTTACAAAAACGTATTATTTCGCTCTTCTCTTTTTCCAGTTAACCTCTTTAGTTCTGTGTAGTTTGACGGTCTCACACCGGTGATAATATAATATGTATATATCAAAGAAAATATTAAAAAGAAACAAGTTATAATAATAGAATAAAATCGGTAAATATTTTATTAAATATATGCATGACTAGATAACAATTGAAGTGTATTGCTTTAAAAATAAATAACTTTTATAAAAATTAAACTGTACGTACTAGTATCATAGCATTTCTATAAAAAAAAAAAAAAAAACTATTTTTAACTTTACTCTTTTAGTTTTTCATTTACCCCTTAATTATATTTTCAGTGAAATACTGAATTCAACGAATGTAAACGTTATTGATATTTTTGAGGGACGTAATTACCCAAATCATCTTCCCTCATTTGTGACTATGTGTGTGCAGTACGGGCACGCGTATGAAATATTTCATGAGGAGAACGATGAATATATTGAACTCTACAATGACGATGTTTTGGATACTAACGCAAACTGATGAAGTTTTCTGTATTCGTCCGTCTGCTGAAATGAAAACGACGAGTCAATTTGAACGGGTACGGATATTTTTTATACGTTTTCACTCTTCGTCTCTCTCTTCTCATTTATTCAGCGCACGTATACGCCAAATTTAGAGATCAGATAATGGAAATCAACCCCGAGGGAGAGAGGAAAAAAATCATATATCGAGATTCCCTATGCATACAGTATACCCATTATTACGTAGCGATACAGCAAACAAATTTGAGATATTATGATAAACGAAATGAAAATGAAAGCCAAAAAAAAAAAATAATAACAGTTTCGACAATTTTCTCTCCAAACAATTTGCCAACTAATCAAAATGTAATAAAGGTACGGGTTATTTTGATTAATGAGTAAAGTAATTGCCGTAATTATTATTAGCATTGATTAATTAAACTTTATGTGAAAAAAA